TGCCTCAGCCTCCCAAGTAGCTGACTGGGATTACAGGCACCCACCACCCCACCCAGCTAATTTGTGTGTGTGTGTGTGTGTGTTTTTTTTAGACGGAGTCTTGCTCTGTCGACAGGCTGGAGTGCAGTGCCATGATCTTGGCTCACTGCAACCTCTGCCTGCGGGGTTCAAGCGATTCCTCTGCCTCAGCCTCCTGAGTAGCTAGGACTATAGGTGCACACCACCATGCCCAGCTAATTTTTTATATTTTAGTACAGATAGGGTTTCACCATGTTGGCCAGGAGAGTCTCAATTTCCCGACCTCGTGACCCACCCACCTCAGCTTCCCAAAGTGCTGGGATTACAGGTGTGAGCCACTGCGCCCGGCCTCTTTTTTTTTTTTTTTTTTTTTTTTTTTTAATCAGAGATGGGGTTTTACCATGTTGGCCAACCTGGTCTCGAACTCCTGACTGCAGGTGATCCACCCACCTTGGCCTCCTGAAGTGCTGGGATTTCAGGCATGAGCCACTGTGCCTGGCCAACTCTCCCTTTTCGTGCCTCAGTTCCCTCTTCTGTCAAATGGGGCTCATCGTAACATCCTACCCAGGTTGTCGGGAGGAGCCACAGAGCTGTGTCAAAGGCCCCCCGGCGAGTGGGCATCCCCGTGTCCCCCGGCCCTGCGTTTGGGCTCTGAGCAAAGTTCATCTTCATTTCCCTGCAGAAGGCCAGACCCCAAATGACTGACTGCAGACAAAGGGGCCTAGAAGTAAACACAAATGTCAGGCTGTTTGGAGATAACCTGAGGCTGGATGCAGTGTCATGGGGCACTCTGGGTGGTGACTCAGCCTTCTTGGCAGATGAACCACAACCCATGCTGGGGCTCTGCTCCAATTCTCAGCTCCCCCAAAAGGATGGAGAATGGGGCAGGAAATGGCTATCATGGTCCTCTCTTATTTTTTTATTTGTTGAGACAGGCTATCACTTTGTCACCCAGGCTGGAGTGCAGTGGCATGATCATGGCTCACTGCAGCCTCAGTCTCCCTAAGTGCTAGGATTACAGTGTGAGTCACTGTGCCAGGGCATGGTTCTTTTTTTTTTTTTTTTTTTTTTTTTTGAGATGGAGTCTTACTCCGTCACCCAGGCTGGAGTGCAGTGGCATAATCTCAGCTCACTGCAGCGTCCACCTCCCGGGTTCAAGCAATTCTCCTTCCTTAGCCTCCTGAGTAGCTGGGATTACAGGCGTGTACCACTACACCTGCCTAATTTTTATATTTTTAGTAGAGATGGGGTTTCACCATGTTGGCCAGGCTGGTCTCAAACTCCTGACCTTGTGATCCACCCGCCTGAGCCTCCCAAAGTGCTGGGATTAAAGGTGTTAGCCACCACACCTATCCTTTTTTTTTTTTTTTTTTTTTGAGACCGAGTATCACTCTGTCGCCCAGGCTGGAGTACAGTGGCGCGATCTTAGCTCACTGAAACCTCCACCTTCCAGGTTCCAGTGATTCTCGATTCTCCTGCCTCAGCCTCCCGAGTAGCTGGGATCACAGGCACTCGCCATCATGCCCAGCTAATTATTGTATTTTTAGTAGAGACAGAGTTTCACCATATTGGCCAGGCTGGTCTCAAACTCTGACATCAGGTGATCCACCCCCTTGGCCTCCCAAAGTGCTGGGATTACAAGCGTGAGCCACCGTATGAGAAGACTGTATGGTCTTCTCTTGACTGTGAGTCCTCTCAGTCTGGGCAGATCAGGGAAAGGCAGCCTGCTCAGCCACTCAGTGCTGTGTGACCTGGGGCAGGCACCTGCTCCTCTCTGGACCTCACTTTTGTCTTCAGCTACGTGAATCATCGCTGGTCCAGATGACTAATGAAGGTCAGGCCAACTCTCCTCTGAGGTTTTCAAAAACACATATGTAAATGAAATCAAACTGACTGCAGGCACCAGAACAACAAACATGAGGGCGACAACTGTCCTTAAAGCGCCCCAGTCCAGTTGGGGGAACAGACACAGATTATTAAAATGCAGCATGGGGGCCAGGAGTAGTGGCTCACACATGTATTCCCAGCACTTTGGGAGGCCGAGACGGGCAGATCACGAGGTCAGGAGATCGAGACCATCCTGGCTAACATGGGCCTGTAGTCCTAGCTACTCGGGAGGCTGAGGCAGGAGAATGGCGTGAACCTGGGAGGCGGAGTTTGCAGTGAGCTGAGATCGCACCACTGCACTCCAGCCTGGGTGACAGAGCGAGACTCTGTCTCAAAAATAATAATAATTTCAAAAAAGCAGCATGGGAAGTCCTGATGTGAGCCTCAGCCACCATCTAGTGATCTACTGATACTGACCATGTGCCAAGCCCTTTGCCCATTTTTTCATTTCGTCTTCATAAGAACCCCATGCAGTAACTACCGTTAGTACACCCATTCTTCTGAAGAGTAAACTGAGGCTCAGATAGGTGAAGAGGCTCGCTGAGCTCACACAACAGGTCAGATGCAGCATGCCTGCCCTCTGGAGATGTCTGGGGAGGTGAAGACCAGCCATTCCTTGAGGGTGGCGCCCACCCTCCCCTGGAGAAGGAGGAGTGGGGTGTGGAATTCCTGGGGAGCCAGGACTCAGGCTTTTATTTCTGGCTTTGCGCTGACTCAGACCATGACCTTGGGTGAGTCACTCACCAACTCTGCTAAGCTTAAAAACAACTCCCCCAATAAAAATGTCCCAGCCCCAACTCCCCATCACAGGGGAGCAGATGGGAGGAATGGGTACAGTTGCTTAAAAATAGAAAGGACGGGGAACACAAGGATGACGCTGGAAGGGCTTCCCGAACATTGGGGGCTTATGCATGGTGGGCCCTGGGAGGGTGAGAAAACAAACTCAGGACCCCCGGGCAGGAGCTGACACTTCCCTGGCTCCTCCCCCTCCCCCAGCCTCCCAGATGCTCCTTAAAATACATCCGTGCCTGAGCTGCTCTTGCAGCCTGAGGTGACCTGATTAAACCTGGTTCCTTCCCCCACACAGCCTGTGTGCCTGCGTCTGTGCATGGGGGCTGCCCCAGCCAATACTTGAGCTTAGTTATTTAAGAGACCCTGTAGTCCTCCTCGTCACATGCCCAGGCTGCCCTGGGGAACTGCTGTGGTTAAGGTCTTTGGGCTTCTTTGACTTGGGTGGTGGTGGGGAAACCAGGACAGCACTGGGAGAACCAAGTTCGCACCCCAGTCCCACCTGTGCTTGGCTGTGCGACCCTAGCAAGTCACTTTCCCATTTTGAGACCCCCTAGAGAGAGGAATAGACTGGCCAAAGTCATACATACAGCGTCTGAACTTGAACTCAAATCAGTGTGACCCTAAAGCTTTCTGGTGTGCCATGCCAGGCCCCCAGCCCAGGAGTGTCATTTTGCTGGCTGTGGGGCAGAGGAGCTCCTTACTACTTTTAGCCTCCCAATTTGCTGCTCAGCATGGACAAAGGTCTGAACCGCCCCAAGCCTCATTCCTACAAGGCTCTGGGTCCCAGCTGCCCCAGTTGTGACTGTGGACAAGACCGGCTCAGCCAGGTCCTGAGCGCCCTCTGCTGGGCGCCACCCTGGGGGGCACTACTCCAGACTGGCTGGCAGGTGTCCCCTCCCCACCAGCCATCCAAGAGTGTCCCCAGGTCCCCCTCAGGGAATCCCTCTGCGCATCCACGAACATTGCCTAGCCATGTCTCTCCAAGCCTGGGGGAGCCATCTGCGGCCAAAACTGTCCTCTGGCCTTTCCCAGGCCACCAGGCAGGCAGTTCCTGTCTATACCTGTCTTTTTTTTTTTTTTTTTTTTTTTTTTCTGGAGGGGGTGAGGATGGGTCAACATGGGCAGACACGGAAAACAGACATTTTTGGAGAATACTTCAAGGAAATGGGGGGGCGGGGCAAAACTGGGAGGAGGAAACATTCAGAATTTGGAGGGCCCAGAGGACTCTGGGATGGAGTGAGGTTTGGGAAACCAGTTCCGCATCTCCCAGAAAGCTGGAGACCCCCTTTCCCAGGGAGAGGCCCCTGCCGGGTCACAGCCAGGCGGCATGATGCCAGGCTCTCAGAGAGGTTGCCCACCCCCCGCCGGGCACACTTCCTCCTCCCCTCCCCCAGCCCCAGTGGATGCAGCAGTTCACACTCTGTATTTATTATTGTTCGCATTCTGTGTCCCCCTCCCCTCTCCCTGGGAAGAGCCTGCAGGCTGGCAGCTTGGCAAGAACCTGCTGTCTCCTTGTGGGTGCCAGTGTCACCCCTTATCTCCGCCTGGACTCCTTGTGCCAGGGTCAGGCCATTCAGGGGCTTGGCACCAGCCAAGGCCACCCTAAGTCCCTGTATCCCATGACAGGGGTGGCCTAGCAGGCCCTGGCTTATCACCCCTGCCCTCCGGAGGCTGTGCCCTGGCAAGGGTGGAGGTCAGAGCAGACCAGCAGGCAGGCAAGAAGCAAGGGCTCGGGGTGGAGTGGTACCCGGGGGGAAGAGAATAACCACACGGAGCCACCTCTCCAAGCTAACTAACACAATTATCCCCATCACACTGGGGAATAAATAGAGTCAGGATAAGACAACTGCTCCAGGTCCAACTGTCTGCCTTCCCAGCCCCAGCCCCACATTCCAGGGGAAGGACCAGCGAGGGTCCCTGCTGCATTCTGCTTTCAGCATCTGGAAGCGGCACTGGGATTTCTCCGGTCAAGGCGGTCCTCTCTCCTGCTGCTTCCCAGACAGGAGGCTGCGGCTTGGCAGGTATCTGCTGCTCTCTGCCTCCTGAGCCAGACGCAGGTCCCAGACACAGACACAGACACAGACATGCTCCCACGGGAGCCACACAGCCTCACCTCATTTGGGGGTCACAGGGAGAGAAGGAGGGAGGGAGAGACAGGTGGGATCCTCTATACCCCCAACACACTATCTGTAAGCTGAACTGGGCTGATTCAGCCCCCACCTTCACATTGTACCTCTCTCCTTCGGCCTGGCCAAAGCCACAGTTTCCAGCACAGTGTCCTCAGGCCCCATCTAGCCCCTCACCTCTCCTGGGCAGCCGGGGTCCAGGCACTGCCTCCTGCGGCGTCTGCGCTCTGCTTCTCTCTGTCTCGTGGAGCTGGCGGGCAGGGGATGGGTCTGGAAGATGTGCGTGCGTGTGTGTGTGTGTGTGTGTGTGTGCGCGCGCGCGTGCTCGCGCGGGCGGTACCTTGGCCCCTCACTCACTCACACGCCTTCCAGCTGACGTCAGGGAGAGCAGGAGGGAGGGATGAGAATTTGTACTCCCTGCTTAAAGGGACACCAGGCTCTGTCGCTCATGGCCCAGACATCACCTCCTGAGTCAGGCACTGCCAGGTGAGAGGTTCAGCTGCGTCTCTCAGGGGCCCTAAAGCTTCTTTTTTTGGAAAGTGGCTTTTATGGCTGGGCCACGGTATAATTTGCCCTGCCCAGTGAAGGCAGCTGCTGAGGAATGCTGGGGAGGAAGAACCTGAGACAGCACCACGATCCTGGTAATTAGAAAGCAAGTGGGGTGCTGAGTTTGAGTGTGAGTGTGTGAGTGCACACCTGGGGCCCCTCGGGGTGGGTGGGCATGAGTAGGGGTAAGACTGGGAGACTGGAGGTCAGAGCCAAGAGGAGCCCCCCAGAGGGGTCAAGACAAGCCAGGTTCCCAGGGACGCCCAGACGCTCATCTCCCCTCCGGACACTCAGTGGTCCTGCCCTCTGCTAGTACAGACACTGACATGGCTCATCTCTGTCTACCCCTTGTAATATTTCCACGGAGTTGAATTGAGGAGGACCCCAAGGAAGTGATCAGATTGAAGGTGCACAGGTGCATACCCACAGCCTGGGAGGCTCTGAGTAGAGAAGAAAAGAGGGCTGATTGAATCCAGGTGCCCAGCCTGTTCTACACCACACGCCCTGGCTTTGAAATGCTCCACACTGTCAAGCTGTGTGACCTTGGGCCAGCCCCTGAGGGCCTTTGGAGGTTGAGTGTGTAATGTTCCTAAACCCAGGGCCAGCTGGAGGAGGCCTCCACAAAGGGGCTTCTCTTCCTTCTTCCCGTTCCTTCTCAGCCTCGGCTTGGAAAGAAGGAAGCCTTTCCCTGGTGTCTCCTGGTACTACTGAGGCAGGCTGGCATTTTCAAAAGGAGTCTTTTTAAAATAAAAAGGAGGTAGGAGTTAAAAGGGAAACCACAAAGAAAAATACAAGCAACTATTACAAATAGCTAAGACGCCACCAGGGCTTGCTCTGTGTCAGGCAGCAAGCTTTGCCGTCACTGAAACCTCACAACGATTTAATAATTTATTTTTGTCATCCCTACTTTACTGATGAGGAATTAGGGGTTCAGGGAGGAGGAAGGACTTGACTTGCCTATATTCTTCCAACTGGCTAGAGGGGCGCCGGAACCCAGGACCACCCAATGTCACCACACGCCCCTGCCCTTCCAGATCCTCTCAGGACAATCAGGTTCAGACAGTCTGGGTTTCTGGTTCTGCAAGAGAGACTATTGAGAAATGCTACCTGTAGTTACCTAGGGAGGGTCTGATTTTTTTATTTTATTTTATTTTTTTTGAGACGGAGTCTCGCTCTGTCGCCCAGGCTGGAGTGCAGTGGCCAGATCTCAGCTCACCGCAAGCTCCGCCTCCCGGGTTCACGCCATTCTCCTGCCTCAGCCTCCCGAATAGCTGGGACTACAGGCGCCCACCACTTCGCCCGGCTAATTTTTTGTATTTTTTAGTAGAGACGGGGTTTCACCGTGTTAGCCAGGATGGACTCGATCTCCTGACCTTGTGATCCGCCCGTCTCGGCCTCCCAAAGTGCTGGGATTACAGGCTTGAGCCACCGCGCCCGGCCTCCTTTTTTTTTTTTTAAAGAGAGTTTTGCTCTGTCGCCCAGACTGGGGGGCAGTGGCTTGATCTCATCTCACTGCAACCTCCGCTTCCCGGGCTCAAGCGATTCTCCTGCCTCAGCCTCCTGAGTAGCTGGGACTACAGGCACACGCCACTATACCCGGCTAATTTTTTTGTATTTTTAGTAGAGACAGGGTTTCACCATGTTGGCCAGAATGTCTCGATCTCCTGACCTCGTGATCCACCCACCTCAGCCTCCCAAAGTGCTGGGATTACAGACGTGAGCCACCGCACCTGGCCAGGGTTCTGATTTTATTTCACACCCCCATCTGAGAACTTTACCCAGAGGAGCCTCCCTTCTTCTTTAAATTCTCTCTTTCCTCCTTTTTATTTATTTATTTTTTTCTCTTTTGAAACAGGTCTTGCTTTGTTACCCAGGCTGGAAGGCAGTGGTGCAATCACAGCTCACTGCAGCTTCCGACTCCTGGGCTCAAATGATCCTCCCGCCTCAGCCTCGTGAGTAGCTGAGACTACATGGGTGCACCACTATACCTGGCTAATTTTTCTTTTTCTTTTTTTTTTTTTAAGACGGAGTCTCGCTCTGTCGCCCAGGCTGGAGTGCAGTGGCCAGATCTCAGCTCACTGCAAGCCCCGCCTCCTGAGTTCACGCCATTCTCCTGCCTCAGCCTCCCGAGTAGCTGGGAGTACAGGCGCCTGCCACCTCGCCCGGCTAATTTTTTTTGTATTTTTTAGTAGAGACAGGGTTTCACCGTGTTAGCCAGGATGGTCTCAATCTCCTGACCTCGTGATCCGCCCGTCTTGGCCTCCCAAAGTGCTGGGATTACAGGCTTGAGCCACCGCGCCCGGCCTTGGCTAATTTTTCAAAAAATTTTTTATAGAGATGGGGTCTCACTATGTTGCCCAGGCTAGTCTCAAACTGCTGGCCTCAAGCAATCCTCCTGCCTTGGCCTCCCAAAGTGCTGGGATAACATCCTCTCTTCTTCTTTGCCTTCCTCTCCTCCAGCAATATCTTTCAAAGGGCCCTCACAGGTAACCCCTTGTCTCCTTCTCCCTCTCCTTCTCCCTCTCCTTCTCCCTCTCCTTCTCCCTCTCCTTCTCCCTCTCCCTCTCCCTCTCCTTCTCCCTCTCCCTCTCCTTCTCCTTCTCCTTCTCCTTCTCCTTCTCCTTCTCCTTCTCCTTCTCCTTCTCCTTCTCCTTCTCCTTCTCCTTCTCCTTCTCCTTCTCCTTCTCCTTCTCGCTCTTCTCCTTCTCCTTCTCCTTCTCCTTCTCCTTCTCCTTCTCGCTCTGTCACCCAGGCTGGAGTGCAGTGGTCTAATCTCAGCTCACTGCAACCTCCACCTCCTAGGTTCAAGCAATTCCCCTGCTTCAGCCTCCTGAGTAGCTGGGATTATAGGCACCTGCTATCATGTCCAGCTAATTTTTTGTTTTGTTTGTTTGTTTGTTTGTTTTTGAGATGGAGTCTCGCTCTGTCACCCAGGCTTGAGTGCAGTGGCTCGTTCTCGGCTCACTGCAAGCTCCGCCTCCGGAGTTCACGCCATTCTCTGCCTCAGCCTCCTGAGTAGCTGGGACTACAGGCGCCCGCCACCACGCCCTGCTAATTTTTTTTTTATTTTTATTTTTAGTAGAAATGGGGTTTCACCGTGTTAGCCAGGATGATCTCGATCTCCTGACCTTGTGATCCGCCCGCCTCAGCCTCCCAAAGGGCCGGGATTACAGGCTTGAGCCCCCCCGCCTGGACTTTTTTTTTTTTTTTTTTTTAATGAGACAGAGTTTCGCTCGTTACCCAGGCTGGAGTGCAATGGTGCGGTCTCAGCTCACTGCAACCTTCGCCTCCCAGGTTCAAGCTACTCCCCTGCCACAGCCTCCTGAGTAGCTGGGACTACAGGTGTGTGCCACCACACCTGGCTAATTTTTGTATTTTTAGTAGAGATGAGGTTTTGCCATGTGGGCCAGGCTAGTCTTGTACTCCTGACCTCAGGTGATCCACCTGCCTCGGCCTCTCAAAGTGCTGGAATTACAGGCATTAGCCACTGCGCCCAGCCCCTCGCCTGTTTCTTCTGACAGCTCTGTCGGGTTCAGTGGGATGAGGAAACACCTCAGAGAGCTCATGGGGCTCCACTGAGTTGCGCGGCTCAGAAGTGGAGGAGTAATGGAGCAGAAGCCCCAGGCCGGATCTCCGGACCCATGTTTCTCTTTTTTTTTTTTAGATGGAGTCTCGCTCTGTTGCCCAGGCTGGAGTGCAGTGGTGCGATCTCGGCTTGCCCCCTGGTTCAAGCAATTCCCCTGCTTCAGCCTCCTGAGTAGCTGAGATTACAGGAGCATGCCACCACATCTGGCTACTTTTTTTGTATTTTTAGTAGAGATGGGGTTTCACCATGTTGGCCAGACTGGTCTGGAACTCCTGACCTCAGGCAATCCACCCACCTTGGCCTCCCAAAGTGCTGGGATTACAGGCATGAGCCACCGCACACGGCGGAGCCATATTTTTCAAACACACCAACCTGCCCTCGGCCTAATGTTTGTATTTTTAATAGAGATGGGGTTTCACTGTTCACTGTGTTAGCCAGGATGGTCTCTATCTCCTGACCTCGTGATCTGCCCGCCTCGGCCTCCCAAAGTGCTGGGATTACAGGTGTGAACCACCGCACCCAGCCTAATGTTTATATTTTCAGTAGAGATGGGGTTTCACCATGTTGACCAGGCTGGTCTCGAACTCCTGACCTCAAGTGATCCGCCTGCCTTGTTCTCTCAAAGTGTTGGGATTACAGACATGAGCCACCGTGCCCCACCTAATTAATTTTTTTAAAAAGGCAATCAGCAAAATCCAGAATGTGGATAAGTGTATAGTACAAAGCATCTTGGCTCTTCAACAAATAAATTACAAGGGAAACAAGAGAGGGTATCTGTAGATGAAGAGGCTTCAGAAACAGTAAGTCAAAGGTAATGTTTAGAAATGTAGTTTTGGGTGATAAAATTATAAAGAAACCGGTGGGTGTGTGGTAGATCATGCCTATAATCCTAGCTCTTAGGCCAGGGCGGGCCTGGGTGCAGTGGCTCACGCCTGTAATCCCAGCACTTGGGAGGCTGAGGTGGGTAGGTCACCTGAGGTCAGGAGTTCAAGACCAACCTGGCCAACATGGTGAAACCCTGTCTCTACTAAAAATATAAAATTAGCTGGGCGTGGTGGCGGGCGGCTATAATCCCAGCTACTCGGGAGGCTGATGCAGGAGAATCACTTGACTCTGGGAGGCGGAGGTGGTAGTGAGCTGAGATCACGCCACTGTACTCCAGCCTGGCAATAGAATGAGATTCCGTCTCAAAAAAAAAAAAATAGAGGCCTAGACGGAAGGATTTCCTGAGCTCAGAAGTTTGAGAACAGCCTGGGCAATGTATCACGATACCATCTCTACAGTAAATTTAAAAAATTAGCTGGTCATGGTGTCATACACCTGTAGTCCCAGTTACTCGGGAGGCTGAGGCAGGAGGATAGCTTGAGCCCAGGAGTTCAAGGTTGCAGTAAGCTGTGATTGTGTCACTGCACTCCAGCCTGGGTGATGGGAGTGAGACTGTATCTCAAAAAAAAGAAACCAGGATATTGACTTTTTTGGGGGAGATGGGTGTTGTAATTGGGAAGGAATATAATTATGAGGGGTTACTGGGGTGTCTGGCAAGACTCAATTTCCTGACATAGGTGGAGATTTTATGGTTGTTCACTTTATAATAATTGATTAGGTTATACTTTCCTTTATGGCCTTTATTTGTTTTATAGGACCTCTGGCCCAGGCTTGGCCAACCAAAACTGGCGTCAGGACTTAAGCTGGAATGTGGATGCCCAGGCTGGCCCTTCTCCCAGGGGCCTCCAACTTGTTTGAGTGATGGGTAAGCTGATTGGCCAGCAGAGGGGGAGTGGACGGGCGGACTTCTCTGCACTCCAGGTGACCAGAGGACCCAGTTTGTCAGGACCTAGAGAGAAGACGTCAAGAGGGAAGAGTCTCTGGAGGTTGGAAGGCCCTTGGTTGCATATGAGCTTGGGGTGGTGGAGGAACAGAAAGGAGGTAGTGTCAGGGGACAGGGTGAGGGAAGGGAATGAGGGACATGAGGCAGGGCCCTGGAGGCCAGCTCTGAGGAGGCTGAGGCCCGGCTGCTGTGGCCAAGGCCCTGACCCCTCCCTTCACGTCCAGTCTCCTTTCTCTTAGCCCCTCCGATGGGCTGTTGAACATGTGCCTAGGGCTGCCGGGCAGCCAGAGAGCAGTGAATGAAGGAGGCTGGGCCGAGCGTTGCAGCAGTGCTATGATTATTCCTGAGCCGGCCATGAGAGGGCACAGCTGTTCATTCAGGAAAAGAGCAGCCGCAGCCCCACCCACCCACCCACCCACCCGCAGCTGAGTAACAAAGAAATCGTCTGCTTGAAACCAGGGGCTCCGCCGTGGAGGCTATTTTTGTGAAAAGCTGAGAATTCAAAAGCTCATCTCCTCGAAAGCCTTCCTTGCCTTGGAGAAGCTGAAGAGGTGGGTTAGAGCTGAATAACCCCTGCGACTACTGATTCCACTCGAATTACAATTCTCACTCCTGTCATTGGCGGTCAGCCCACCTGTGGCGGCCAGGCCTGGACCTACAAGGCATCGAATCCACATCCCTTTGAGATACATACACCTCTAAGGTGTTGGTGCCATGTGACAAGATGATGAGATGCTCACGCAGAGCATCACAGCTGGTGATGGAGCTGGTATTAAAACACAGAGGTTCGGCTGTCTCTACTAAAAGCACAAAAATTAGCTGGGCATGGTGGCACATGCCTGTAGTCTTAGCCACTCGGGAGGCTGAGGCAGGAGGATTGCTTGAACCCGGGAGGCGGAGGTTGCAGCGAACCAAGATCGCGGCACTGCACTCCAGCCTGGCGACAGAGCAAGACTCCGTTTCAAACACACACACACACACGCACACGCACACGCACACGCACACACACACAGGTTCTGGCTTCATTACACTCCTATTATTTCTGCCATGCCACACTGTCTTCAAAATGTCTTTTCAATCCCCTGGATGCCATCTCCCCTACGGTGGGACTCATCTCCAGCCTGGACTCAGTAAATCAGAGTGGTCCTTCCTTCCCCTCTGCTTGTCTCCCAGTTGTCTCCTCCAATCCGACTACCACCCTACTGCCAGGGAAGATCTTTTCCTGCAGATCTGACCACATCATTTGCACATTCATTCATACGTTCAGCAAATATTTATTGCCTGCCTACCATGTACCAGATGGCCAAGGCTCCGGGAAGACAGCGGTAGAAAAGCAGGTGAGCTCCTTGAGTTCATGGAGCTCGCATCTCATCTAGAGGTGATACAGATGGTACAAAATCCACAGACAAATGTGGAATCTCAAGTTACAAAAAAAAAATAAAAATAAAAAACAAGGGGGTTGGGGGTGGTGGCTCACGCCTGTAATCTCAGCACTTTGGGAGGCTGAGGAGGGTGGATCATGAGGTCAAGAGATCAAGACTATCCTGGCCTACATAGTGAAACCTTGTCTCTACTAAAAGTACAAACATTAGCTGGGCGTGGCAGTGCACACCTGTAGTCCCAGCTACTCAGGAGGCTGAGGCAGGAGAATCGCTTGAACCCAGGAGGCAGAGGCTGCAGCGAGCCAAGATCACTCCACTGCACTCCAGCCTGGCGACAGAGTCAGACTCCATCTTAAAAAAAAAAAAGGCAGGGAAGGGAACTCCCAGAGGCAAGAAAGAACTCTGCACATTCAAGCAACTTAAGATTGCAAATGTGGCTGGAACAGCAAGTAGGAGAAGGGCAGAAGCCACACTGTGTGGGATTTGGGGGACCTGGTAAGAGGCCTGCTCCTCATCTGAAGTGAGAGGGGAAGGAATGACAGTGCAATCTCAGCTCACTGCAATCTATACCTCCTAGGTTCAAGCTATTCTCCTGCCTCAGCCTCCTGAGCAGCTGGGATTACAGACGCCTGCCACCACACCTGGCTAATTTTCATATTTTTAGTAGAGACAGAGTTTCACCATATTAGCCAGGCTGGTTTGAAACTCCTGACCTAAAGTCATCTGCCAGCCTCAGCCTCCCAAAGTGCTGGGATTACGGGTTTGAGCCACTGCACCTTGCCCAGGATGTCTAGTGTTTAGGCCTTTTCTAGAATCTCCTTTCCTAGTGGCACTTCTGCCTGTATCTTGGCCTCCATGGAGGGACTTTTTTTTTTTTTTTTTGAGACAGAGTCTCGCTCTGTCGCCCAGGCTGGAGTGCAGTGGTGTGATCTCGGCTCACTGCAAGCTCTGCCTCCTGGGTTCACGCCATTCTCCTGTCTCAGCCTCCCGAGTAGCTGGGACTACAGGCACCCGCCACCACACCTGGCTAATTTTTGTATTTTTTAGTAGAGACGGGGTTTCACTGTGTTAGCCAGGATGGTCTTGATCTCCTGAGCTCGTAATCTGCTAGCCTTGGCCTCCCAAAGTGCTGGGATTACAGGCGTGTGAGGGACGTTTTAAAGTACCCAAATAAATAAGTCTGGGCACGGTGGCTCATGCCTGTAATCCCAGCACTTTGGGAGGCTGAGGCAAGTGGATAACCTGAGATCAGGAGTTCAAGACCAGCCTGGCCAACATGGCGAAAACCTGTCTCTACTAAAAATGCAAAAATTAGCTGGGCATGGTGGCATGTGCCTATAGTCCCAGCTACTCAGGAGGCTGAGGCAGGAGAATCGCTTTAACCCAGGAGGCAGAGGTTGCAGTGAGCCGAGATTGTGCCACTGCACTCCAGCCTGGGTGACAGAGACACTCCATCTCAAAAAAAAAAAAAAAAAAAAAAAAAAGTACCCAAATAAAAATCATTCCTGGCCAGGCGCGGTGGCTAACACCTCTAATCCCAGCACTTTGGGAGGCCAAGGTGGGCGGATCACGAAGTCAGGAGATCAAGACCATCCTGGCCAACATGGTGAAACTCTGTTTCTACTAAAAATACAAAAATTAGCCAGGTGTAGAGGCCCGTGCCCGTAATCCCAGCTACTCAGGAGGCTAAGGCAGGAGAATCGCCTGAACCAGGGAGTTGGAGGTTGCAGTGAGCCAAGATCGCACCACAGCACTCCAGCCTAGTGACAGAGCGAGACTCCATCTCAAAAAAAAGAAAAAAAATCTTTCCTGGGTCTATTCAGACAGATTGTCAAGGGCACCATTCAGTTCCTCAGAGCCTCCATTTTTTGAGAACCTATAAAGTCCTCTGAGGGTTCAGAATCAAGAAAATCCAAACCTAATTTGTACACCTGGCAAGTTTCTAAGTTGTAACTGAAAATGTTTTTCTCTTTACTTTGGCTGCTAGGAAGCTCAGAGCCAATCCTTTTTTTTTTTTTTTTTTTTTTTAATTGAGATAGAATCTTGCTCTGTCACCCAGGCTAAAGTGCAGTGACCCAATCTCAGCTCACTGCAAGCTCCACCTCCCGGATTCATGCCATTCTCCTGCCTCAACCTCCCCAGTAGCTGGGACTACCGGTGCCCACCACCACACCCGGCTAATTTTTTTTTATTTTTAGTAGAGATGGGGTTTCACTGTGTTAGCCAGGATGGTCTCCATCTCCTGACCTCGTGATCTGCCCACCTCGGCCTCCCAAAATGCTGGGATTACAGGCATGAGCCACCGTGCCCAGCCTAGACCCAGATTCTTTTACCACCAGCAGGTGTACAGGATCACATATATCTTTGAGCTAATCTTTTCATCATTCACTCACTCAATCATCCAACAAATATTTGTCTTGGACTTATTGTGTGTCTGGCACCTTTCTAGGTACTGAAGAAGTAACAGTGAACAAACAAGACCAAATATCTGTCTTCATGGACCTTACAGTCAAGTAGGGGAAGGGAAGCAATCAACTTAATAAAGGTTGGGCACAGTGGTTCATGCCTGTAATCCCAGCACTTTCAGGAGGCCAAAGTGGGAAGACTGCTTGAGGCTAGGAGTTCAAGACCAGCCTGGGCAACAAAGTGAGCTCCCATCTCTGCAAAAAATGTTTAAAAATTAGTTGCAGGTAGGGTATACTGGCTCATGCCTGTAATCCCAGCACTTTGGGAGGCCAAGGTGGGTGGATCATTTGAGGGGAGGAATTTGAGACTAGTCTTGCCAACATAGTGAAATCTCATCTCTACTAAAAATACAAAAAAATTGCTGGGTGTGGTGGTACATGCCTGTAATCCCAGCTACTCAGGTGACTGGGGCACAAGAATTGCTTGAACCTGGGAGACGGAGGTTGAAATTGGTGGAGATGACGCTGCTGCACTCCAGCCTGGGCGACAGGGCGAGACTCTGTCTCAAAAATAAATAATAAAAAATAGTTGGGCATGGTGACAAGTACCTATAGTTCCATCTACTGGGGAGGTTGAGACAGGAGGATTCCTTGAGTCCAGTAATTCAAGGCCACAGTGAGCTATGATCGTGCCACTGCACTCCTGCTGGGCAACAGAGCAAGACCTGTTGAAAAAAAAGCCTAACAAATAAAAATAGCTTAATAAATAAATAATGTCATGTTGGAAGACTAGGAATGTTAGCCTAGGCAATGCTAGTGAAAATTAAACAGGGAAGTACGGGGATGGTGGTGGGTGGTTAAAACAGGGGGTCAGGGCTAGGCTTGGTGGCTCATGCTTGTAATCCTGGCACTTTGGGAGGCTGAGGCAGAAGGATCACTTGAACTCAGGAGTTTAAGACCAGCCTGGGCAACATGAGACTTTGTCTCTGCAAAATAAATAAACAAAAATAAAACCAGGGGCCAGGGCAAGCCTCACCAAGGTGACATTACAGCAAGGATCTGGAGGAGGTGACTGGAAGGGTGTTCAGGGAGAGTAAACAGCATAGGCGGAGGACCTGAGTGGGGGTGTATCTGGGGTGTCTGAAAAACAGCAGCCAGGCAGAGGAGTGGGGCATGAGGTTGGAGGAGTCCTGGGGCAGGGGGACCCCGAGGGCTGTGGAGGCCATCCTAAGGCCCGGGATTTTTCCTCTAGGGAGATAGGGTGTTGCACAGTCTGCAGGGGAAGAGAGAAAATTCCTGACTGACACTGAAACAGCAATTCTCTGGCTTCTGTGTTGCCCGCAGATGGCAGGGCGCAAGGACAGGAGCCTGGAAACCTGTACCGGGGCTGCTGCGAAGGCCCGGGGAAGATTGAGGGTGGCTGGAACCCAAAAATGGCAGCGGAGCTGATGGAGAAAGGTCAGATTCGGGATGCATTTTGGAGACAGCAGCAACAGGATTTGCTCAAGGGATTCACATGGAGTGTGAGAGACGAAGAGTGGAGAATGATTCTGAGGCTTGGACCTGAGCAATGAACAGTGAAGTCATTTTCTAAGACAGGGAAGAGGCTGGGCCAAGTGGGTCACGCCGATAATCCCAGCACTTTGGGAGGCTGAGGCAGGAGGATTGCTTGAGCTCAGGAGTTCAAGACCAGCTTGGGCAACACAGCGAGACCTCATTTCTAAAAAAAAAAAAACACAAAAATTAGGCTGGGTGCAGTGGCTCATGCCTATAATCCCAGCACTTTGGGAAGTTGAGGCGGGTGGATCATCTGAGGTCAGGGGTTCGAGACAAGCCTAAGCAACATCGCGAAACCCTGTCTCTACTAAAAAAATTAGCCGGGCGTGGTGGCACATGCCTGTAATCCCAGCTACTTGGGAGGCTGAGCCAGGAGAATCACTTGAACCCTTGAGGTGGAGGTTGCAGTGAGCCGAGATATCACACCATTATACTCAAGGCTGGGCAACAAGAGCGAAACTCTGTCTCAAAAATAAATAAATAAATAATAAATAAATAAAATTTAAAAATATAAAAATTAGCTGAGCATGGGAGCATGGTGGCGTGCGCCTGTAGTCTCAGCTACTGGAGAGGCTGAAGTGGGAGGATCACTTGAGCCTGGGAGGTACAGGCTGCAGTGAGCTGTGGTTTCAATACTATACTCCAGCCTGGGTGACAGACTTTGTTGCAAAAAAAAAAAAAAAAAAAAGAGGGAAGATGAATAGGAGCAGGTTTGTGGGGAGCGCCAGCCCGGAGTCCCATTGTGACCACATTAAACTCGAGTGACCAGATGCAGCTGTGAAGTCCGTGCTCGGGGAGAGAGGCTAGGCTGGCAGGACGGGGTGGAGCCATGAACGGCAGGTGCTGTGTGGAGGCACAGTACCCACAGGAGTGTACCCAGAGCAGAAAGTGAGCCCAAGTCCTGCCGGCATTGTGAGGCCAAGAAAGGAGTCTGTGAAGTGGGTGGAGAATGTGGCTGGGCCACAGGGGAAAGGGTGTCTGAAAGAGGAGGGAGTGACCTTCTGGGACAAAAACTGCCACTGCGGACAGAATTACCACTGATTTGGCAACATGGAGTCCATTAATGACCTTGAGGAAGCATCTTCCCTGGAGCAACAGGGGCAGAACCCTGGCTGGAGCAGGTTGGAGAGAGGAGAAGAGAGGTTTGGATGGGACCCAGCAAACACAGTTTTACTAGTAAAGGGGGCAGAAAAATGGAGCATTCACTGGAGGAAAAGGGGGCCAAGAAAGGGGGTCAAGAGAAGCTTTTCTTTTTTTTTAGGTGTGAAAAAAATCTTAATTGCTTTTTAAATTTTGTTGTATTCATTTTGAACAGGTAATATATTCCCATGATCCCACACAAAGAAGATTCCCAGCCAGGCACAACGGCTTGCACCTCTAATGCCAGCACTTTGGGAGGCTGAGGAGGGAAGATCACTTAAGCTCAGGAGTTCGAGACCAACGTGGGCAACATAGTGAGACCCCGTTTCTACAAAAATAAAAAATAAAAAAAATTAGCCGGGTGGGATGGTACATGCCTATAGTACACAGCTACAGGCACACAGGAAGCTAAGACTGGAGGATTGTTTGAGCCCAGGAGTTCAAGGCTGCAGTGAGCTATGATCACACTGCTGCACTCCAGCCTGCATGACAGAGTGAGACCTTGTCTCTCTCTCTCTCTCTGTTTTTTGGTTTGTTTGTTTTGTTTTTTGAGACAGAGTTTCGCTCTTGTTGCCCAGGCTGGAGTGCAATGGCATGATCTCGGCTTGTTGCAACCTTTGCCTCCTGGGTTCAAACAATTCTCCTGCCTCAGCTTCCTGAGTAGCTGGGATTACAGGCGCCCGCCACCATGCCCAGCTTATTTTTTGTAATTTTAATAGAGATGGGGTTTCTCCATGTTGGCCAGGCTGGTCTCGAAGTCCTGACATCAGGTGATCCAGCCGTCTCGGCCTCCCAAAGTGCTGGGATTACAAGTGTGAGTCACTGTGCCAGGCCTAGACCTTGTCTCTAAAAAAAAAAAAGGCTAGGCGCAGTGGCTCACGCCTGTAATCTCAGCACTTTGGGAGGCGGAGGTGGGAGGATCACGAGGTCAGGAGATTGAGACCATGGTGAAACCCCGTCTCTACTAAAAATACAAAAAATTAGCCACGCATGGTGGCGGGTGCCTGTAGTCCCAGCTACTCAGGAGACTGAGGCAGGAGAATGGTGTGAACCCAGAAGGCAGAGCTTGCAGTGAGCCGAGATAGCACCACTGTACTCCAGCCTGGGCGATAGAGAGAGACTCTGTCTCAAAAAAAAAAAAAGATTCCAAACTGCATTTGGGAAAAAATTATCTCCCCTCCCACTGCCCCTCAACCCGCCTCAGCTGTTCATTCCTTACTCTGGAGACAACCAGTGTTATCCACTTCTTATGAACCCCCCAGAGCTATTTTCTGCATAAAAGAACATTAGATAATTATTTTTCTCCCTGTTTTACACAAATGGCAACATCCCATTACACCATTACACAATGCTCTGCACCTTGTACTTTTGGATTTAACAATATATCCTAAATATCATTCTATAGCAATACACAAAGGACATTCTCATTCTTTTTTATGACTTCATATTTTTCTGGTATGTGATGCACCATTTTTTTTTTTTCAGCCAGCACTCTGCTGATGGACAATTATTTGAGATGGGTTCTATTTCCTTTTACAGAGAGGCCGTGGGGCACTGAGAGGGTCATGGGCATCCCTGCAGGTGCCCAGCTTGTGTGCTGTGGCGTGGAAATGCTACACTCCTAGTCATCCCGAGTGACTCTTTCTCCCGCCTTGATGAGTTTCCAGCCCTATTTCTCCCTCACTTCTATACCTTCAGCAATTTTTTTTTTTTTAAATTTTTGAGACGGAATCTCGCTGTGTCGCCCAGGCTGGAGTGCAGTGGCCGGATCTCAGCTCACTGCAAGCTCCGCCTCCCGGGTTCACGCCATTCTCCTGCCTCAGCCTCCCAAGTAGCTGGGACTACAAGCGCCCACCACCTCACCTGGCTAGTTTTTTTTGTATTTTTTAGTAGAGACGGGGTTTCACCGGGTTAGCCAGGATGGTCTCGATCTCCTGACCTTGTAATCCACCCGCCTCAGCCTCCCAAAGTGCTGGGATTACAGGCTTGAGCCACCGCGCCCGGCCAATTTTTTTTTTTTTTTTTGACAGTCTCACTCTGTCGCCCAGGCTGGAGTACAGTGGCCCGATCCCGGCTCACTGCAACCTCCACCCTCCGAGTTCAAGCGACTCTCCTGCCTCAGCCTCCCGAGTAACTGAGATTACAGGCGCCTGCCACCGTGCCCGGCTAATTTTTTGTATTTTTAGTAGAGACGGGGTTTCACCATCTTGGCCAGGCTGGTCTTGAACTCCTGGCCTCGTGATCCACCTGCCTCAGCCTCCCAAAGTGCTGGGATTACAGGCGTGAGCCATGGCGCCTGGCCAATTATTTTATTATCTTTCGTTCATTCAAATAACATGTATCAGACACTGGGTTAGGCCAGAGCACATGCAGGGATGCGATAGGTAGAGAAGCCCTGTGGTCATGGAGCTTGCAGATGAAGCCGCTTGTGTGTTTTTGTACCTCAAACCTTCCGTGGAGCAACGTGGAGAATTAATAAAGAGGCCTGATCTCTAGTTTTACCAATGAGTAAACCAAATGTGCCAACACATCTCTGTTGCAATCCTGTGAGCAGAATACCGTAACAGTAGCCTGGTAACCCACACACTGACCACTTCAGTGCTGGCCCCCTGCCCCCAGCCTGGCCCCGCTGCCGTTTCCCATCTCAAATGTGAAGGCTAAAGCCCACAGGCGTTGGCTCCTCCCACTTCTGTCCTCCAGGTCATCCCACCCATTCCACCCCCTGAAGACCTCTGGACTCTGACCAGCGTCACTCTCCATGGCTACCAGCCTCGCTCTGGCCATCTTTTGCTGCGGCCACACAATAACCTCCTCCCTGGTCGTGCCTCCACTCCATCCCCTTCCCATCCGCTGTCTACCCAGCTGATATGTCCCTGTGTCATTTTCCTGTCCTAGCCTTCTCTTTTTTTTTTTTTTTTTTTGAGACAGAGCTTCATTCTTGTCACCCAGGCTGGAGTGCAATGGCACAATCTCAGCTCACTGCAACCTCTGCCTCCCAGGCTCAAGTGATTTTGCCTCAGCCTCCTGAGTAGCTGGGATTACACGAGTGTGCCACCATGCCCAGTTAATTTTGTATTTTTAGTAGAGACAGGGTTTCACCATGTTGGCCAGACTGATCTTGAACTCCTGACTTCAAGTGATCTGCCGGTCTCGGCCTCCCAAAGTGCTGGGATTACAGGTGTAAGCCACCACGCCTGGACTGTCCTAGCCTTCCAAGGCCTCCCTTCGCTGTCCTCAGGCTAATGTCATGGTGGGGCAGAGCCTGGTGGTCATGATTATGGACTCTGGGGCCTGGGTCCCACGTTTGCCACTTACTGGCTCTATGACCTTAAATGACCGACTTAACCTCTATTTGCCTTAGATGAGGCAAAATGAGACAATGAGGTGAGATAACGATAATACCTCCTACCGTATACAGTTGTTCTGAGGATAAAACTTAATGCATGTAAAGCACCTAAGTAGTACTTGACATATAGTAAGTGCTCATGAATGTTAGCTGTTAATATAATCATAAGGCCCTCTGATCTGGATGCTGCTTAGGTCTCTAACCTCTTAGTTTACCAGTTCTCATTTCCCATGTAAATCAGCCCAAATATTATTATTTATTTTAGAGACAGAGTCTTGCTGTGTCACTCAGGCTGGAGGGCGGTGGCATGATCAAAGCTCACTGAAGCCTTGAATTCTTGGGCTCAAGCAATCCTCCTATCTCAGCCTCCCAAGTAGCTAGGACTACAGGCAAGTGCCATCACACCCAGCTAATTATTTTATTTTTTTTTAGTACAGACAGTATCCCACTTTGTTGCCCAGGCTGGTCTCAAACTGACCTTAAGCAATCCTCCTGCCTCGGCCTCCCAAAATGTTGGGATTATAGGCATGAGCCACTGTGCCTGGCTCCAAATAGTTTTAATTACCTGAGAGTACAAGCGCTCTCTTTCTCTCAATGCCCGCCCCACTGCCCCCCAACTCCAGTACCAAGTGCTCTGAGCTGAAGCTGGGTTTGAGGCCCAGTTTTCTTCTCCATTGCATCTCCAACAACTGGGCACAACAGTATGTTGAATGAATGCATGAATGAATGAGAACAGCATCACATGTGGGTTGTTTTAGGCCGTTCTCACATTGCTATAAAGAAATACCTGGGCCAGGCGCGGTGGCTCATGCCTGTAATCCTAGCACTTTGGGAGGTCGAGGCAGGAGGATCAACTGAGGTCAGGAGTTCGAGACCAGCCTGGTCAACATGGTGAAACCCCGTTTCTACTAAAACTACAAAAATGAGCTAGGAGTGGTGGCATGTGCCTGTAGTCTCAGCTACTTAGGAGGCTGAGGCAGGAGAATCGCTTGAACTCAGGAGGCCGAGGTTGCAGTGAGCTGAGATGGCACCTCTGCACTCCAACCTGGGTGACAGAGAGACTCCGTCTCAAAAAAAAAAAAAAAGAAAAAAAGAAAAGAAGAAGGCCGGGCGCGGTGGCTCAAGCCTGTAATCCCAGCACTTTGGGAGGCCGAGACGGGCGGATCACCAGGTCAGGAGATCGAGACCATCCTGGCTAACACGGTGAAACCCCGTCTCTACTAAAAAAAACACAAAAAACTAGCCGGGCGAGGTGGCGGGTGCCTGTAGTCCCCGCTACTGGGGAGGCTGAGGCGGGAGAATGGCGTAAACCCAGGAGGTGGAGCTTGCAGTGAGCTGAGATCCGGCCACTGCACTCCAGCCCGGGCGACAGAGCGAGACTCCGTCTCAAAAAAAAAAAAAAAAAAAAAGGAAAGAAAAGAAGAAGAAATACCTGGCTGGGCGCGGTGGCTCACGCCTGTAATCCCAGCCCTTTGGGAGGCCCAGGCGGGTGGATCACTTGATGTCAAGACTTTGAGACTAGCCTGGCCAACATGGCAAAACCTTGTCTCTATACAAAAACTATCTGGGCGTGGTGGCGCACGCTTGTAGTCCCAGCCAGCTACTCTGGAGGCTGAGACAGAAGAATCACTTGAATTGGGGAGGTGGAGGTTGCAGTGTGCCCTGATAGTGCCACTGCATTCCAGCCTGGGCGACAGAGCTGGTTAATTTATAAAGAAAATAGGTTGGCCGGGCGCAGTGGCTCCTGCCTGTAATCTCAGCACGTTGGGAGGCCGAGGCAGGCGGATCACGAGGTCAGGAGATCGAGGCCATCCTGGCTAACATGGTGAAACCCCGTCTCTACTAAAAATACAAAAAATTAGCCGGGTGTGGTAGTGGGCGCCTGTAGTCCCAGGTACTTGGGAGGCTGAGGCAGGAGAATGGCGTGAACCCGGGAGGTGGAGTTTGCAGTGAGCCGAGATCGCACCACTGCACTCCAGCCTGGGCCACAGAGCGAGACTCCGTCTCAAAAAAAAATTAAGAAAATAGGTTTAGCCGGGCGCGGTGGCTCAAGCCTGTAATCCCAGCACTTTGGGAGGCTGAGATGGGCGGATCACGAGGTCAGGAGATCGAGACCATCCTGGCGAACACGGTGAAACCCCGTCTCTACTAAAAATACAAAAAAAAATTAGCCGGGCGAGCTGGCGGGCGCCTGTAGTCCCAGCTACTCGGGAGGCTGAGGCAGGAGAATGGCGTAAACCCGGGAGGCGGAGCTTGCAGTGAGCTGAGATCCGGCCACTGCACTCCAGCCTGGGAGACAGAGCGAGACTCCGTCTCAAAAAAAAAAAAAAAAAAAGAAAATAGGTTTAGTTGGCTCGTGGTTCTACAGGCTTTACAGCAAGCACGGTGCTGGCATAGGCTCAGCTTCCAGGAATGCCTCAGGAAGCTTCCCATCATGGCGGAAATCAAAAGGGGAGCAGGCACGTCACATGGGGAAAAGAGGAGCGAGAGAGAGTGGGGGGAGGGAGGTGCCACACACTTTTTTTTTTCAAGATGGAGTTTCGCTATTGTTGCCCAGGCTGGAGTGCAATGGCGCGATCTCCGCTCACCGGAACCTCTGACTCCCAGGTTCAAGCAATTCTCCTGCCTCAGCTTTCCCGAGTAGCTGGGATTACAGGAATGCGCCACCACGCCCGGGTAATTTTGTATTTTTAGTATAGATGGGGTTTCTCCATGTTGGTCAGGCTGGTCTTGAACTCCCGACCTCAGGTGATCCGCCCACCTTGGCCTCCCAAAGTGCTGGGATTACAGGCGTGAGCCACATGCCTGGCCACGACACACTCTTTTTTTTTTTTTTTTTTTTTTTGAAACGGAGTCTCACTTTGTTGCCAGGCTGGAGTGCAGTGGCACAATCTCGGCTCACTGCAACCTCTGCCTCCAGGGTTCAAATGATTCTCCTGCCTCAGTCTCCCAAGTAACTGGGACCACAGGCATGTGCCACCATGCCCAGCTACTTTTTTTTTTCGGTATTTTTAGTGGAGACATGGTTTCACCGTGTTAGCCAGGATAGTCTCAATCTCCTGACCTTGTGATCCGCCTGCCTCGGCCTCCCAAAGTGGCAGGATTACAGGCGTTAGCCACCTTGCCTGGCCCCACCATATACTTTTAAATGACCAGATATTGGCTAGGCACGGTGGCTCATGCCTGTAATCTCAGCACTTTGAGAGGCCGAGGTGGAAGGATCATCTGAGGTCAGGAGTTGGAGACCAGCCTGGCCAACATGGTGAAACCTTGTATCTACTAAAAATACCGGGTGTGGTGGTGGGCGCCTGTAATCCCAGCTACTTGGGAGGCTGAGGCAGGAGAATCGCTTGAACCCAGTAAGTGGAGGTTGCATTGAGCTGAGATCACGCCACTGTACTCCAGTCTGGGAGACAGAGCAAGATTCCATCTCAAAAGAAAAAAAAAAAAAAAAAAAAAAAAGGCCTGAACCAAAGCAATAGCAGTGGGAGTGGAATAAAGAGGAAGCATTTGAGAGGAATAATTAATGTTAATCTCCTAAACACCTTTACTCAATGCTTCCTAGGAATGTGTTAGGGGATTGTGGGAATAAAGAGCTGAAGTAGCATTTACTCCTGTCCTCAAGTACCTCAAATCCTATAGAAGCAGACCTAAAAATAAAAACATACATGCAGGGAAGGCCACATTTAGCATCACTGCAGCCAGTGTCACTGAGAGATCACTATGCTTGTGAAATCAGCAAATTAAGGCACCGTACATTTCCAAGTGCCTCTGTCATTTACCCCAAGGATCTTTTTTAAGTACCTAAATTGTTATTTTGGTTAAAACACACTACAGTATACATCTACACCTCACCAGTTTTTAAAGGCAGGGTAGTGAGGTTCAGACTGGGCCCATCTCTACCACTTGTCAACACATGATCTTGGGCAAGTTACCAAATTCTTTTAGCCCGTGCTAACTATCACGTGAAGACGAATGAGACTGGAATGTTGGGGAGAGAGCATGATGGGGCAATAGGAGGGGGTATGATCAGATCCTGCAAGGCCATGTGAACTACCATAAAGGTTTTGGACTTTTCTTCTTTCTTTTTTTCTCTTTCTTCTTTCTCTTCTTTTCCTTCTTCTCCTTCTCCTCCTTCTTTCTTCTTCTTCTTCTCCTTCTCCTTCTTCTCTTTCGTTTAGAGATGGGGTGTCACTGTCACCCATGCCAGCGTGCAGTGGCATGATTGTAGATCACTGCATCGCTGCAGCCTTAAACTCCGGGACTCAAGCGATGCTCCTGTCTCAGGCTTCTCAGTAGCTGGGACTACAGGTGTGCACCGCCAACCCCGGCTTGGATTTAGTATTCTAAGTTCAATGGGTTGTATTTTTAGTTCCAATTTATTATCACTTTTCAATTGTGATATAATGTATACAAATAAATGCAAAAATCTTGCCTTGAGTTCAATTAGTTTGGACGCTTGTATACGTCAATGTTATACCACCGAAAAGAAGATACAGAACATTTCCATCATCCCAGAGAAGTCCCAACTGTTCCTTTCCTGTCAATTCTCCTTGTCTCCGGAACACTTAAGGGTGCTAAGCATATTATGTTTGCGGTGTTTTTTTGTTTTTTTTTTTTAACTTAGAAGATGTGGTAATATATGTTTGCGTTCCCAAAGGATCACTCTGGCTGCTGTGCGGAGGACAGCAAGGTGGGTAAAGCACAGGCCAGGCGAGGGATAATCAGGCAGTATTGCACGGAGGTCGCCTAGCAACCAGAAAGCGCCGTCGGGAGCTGGGAAAACGCTTTGCTACTGAGAAAGGAGGAGGCCCCGCCCCCTCCCCGCCCTCTCTCCGCCCCACGCAGTGCGCGGGCACCCGCTCTGTCCGCCTCGGACGGACAGAGGCTTCTTATTGGTGGGTTTTCCGGAAGCGATGGATTCGGAATCTGGCCCGCAGCCACGCAAAACCGAGCGGCTGTGTGCGGTGCGTGGTGCGTGGTGCGTGGTGCCTGGTGCGTGGTGCGTGGTGCGTGGTGTGTGGTACGTGCGGCGGCACGTGGCGCGGGTGCGGGGCGTGGTGTGGCGGGGTCGTGCGGCGCGGCCGCGCACCCGGAGCTCTGAACAGAGAGCGCCTCCTTCTGGCCTCGGTTTCCTCTCGTTGTAGTAGCGGAGCATGGCCTGGACCGGGCACCCGAGACCGCCCCGTGCAGCCTCACTGCCAGCCTGGGGGCCTCAGCGACCGGGACGGGACCAAGGGGCTCGGGGATCCTCCCTGCCCCCGGCCCTGGTGCTTGACTGACCCTCCCGTTCCCAGAGCCCCCAGCGCAGACCGGGATGTTTGTCCTGGTGGAGATGGTGGACACGGTGCGGATCCCCCCTTGGCAGTTTGAGAGGAAGCTCAACGACTCCATTGCCGAGGAGCTGAACAAGAAGTTGGCCAACAAGGTACTGGGCCCACGGCTCGCGGGCAGGCCTTGGCGCGGGAGAGCCAGCGCCGCCCACCGGCCGCAGGCCTGGCCTCCGTCATGCCAAGCCCCTGGCCGTGGGCAAGCGGCTTAATGTCTCAGAACTTCTGTTCACCGTGAAACAGGATGTTGAAGGGGATCAAAAGAAAATGGGCTTGAAAAAGGGAGTTGTAACTGGAAGTGTCAGACTCTACAATTCTAAATTACTTTGCAATTGCAGGCAAGTTACTGACCCCCTCTGGGCCTCAGTTTCCATTTATAAAATGGGGATAAAATGTTGCTGCCCTTCCAGCCATGCATTGGTTTTTTGTTGTTTTTGTTTTGTTTCTTTTCTTTTTTTTATTCTTTCCCCGAGACGGAGTCTTGCTCTGTCGCCCAGCCTGGAGTGCAGTGGCGCAATCTCGGCTCACTGCAAACCTCCGCCTCCTGGGTTCAAGCAATTCTCCTGCCTCAGCCTCCCGAGTAGCTAGGACGACTACAGGCGCACGCCTCCATGCCCAGCTAATTTTCGTATTTGTATTTGTATTTGGTTTTATTTTTATTATTTACTTATTTATTTGAGACAGAGTCTCGCTCTGTCGCCCGGGCTGGAGTGCAGTGGCGCGATCTCGGCTCACTGCAAGCTCTGCCTCCCGGCTTCACGCCATTCTCCTGCCTCAGCCTCCCAAGTAGCTGGTACTACAGGGGCCCGCCACCACGCCCAGCTAATTTTTTTGTATTTTTAGTAGAGACGGGGTTTCACCATGTTAGCCTGGTTGGTCTCAATCTCCTGACCTCGTGATCTGCCGCCTCGGCCTCCCAAAGTGCTGGGATTACAGGCGTGAGCCACCGTGCCTGGCCAATTTTTGTATTTTTGTGGAGACGGGGTTTCTCCATGTGGCCAGGATGGTCTCGATCTCTTGATCTCCCCGCCTCGGCCTCCCAAAGTGCTGGGATTACAAGCGTGAGCCACCGCTCTGGGCCAGTGCATTGTTTTTGTGAAGATGAACAGTTCTAGTAGTACAGAGTTAACTGTCAGGAGGTTCATCCCTTCATTCTAGCAGCCAATATTTGTGCGCCATCTCTGCGCAGTGCTTATGTGCCTTAGTGCCAGCTGAGAGGTCTTCCCACTGCCATTTCTCTGGTAGTCCTCCCATTCCAGGTATTCTGTGTCACATCACTCTTTCCATCTTAGACTTTTTCCTTTCCCTCTCCTTGAGAGCAGGGACTTATCTGTCTTCTTCCCTGAATCCCCTCATTTAGCCAGAGCCTGGCGTGAGTAGGTGTTCCATAATTTTATGGTTTTTTTTTTTTTTTTTTTTTAAAGACAGAGTCCCGCTCTTGTTGCCCAGGCTGGGGTGCAGTGTTTCAATTTTGGCTCACTGCAACCTCCACCTCCTGGGTTCAAGCTATTCTCCTGCCTCAGCCTCTTGAGTAGCTGGGATTACAGGTGCCTGCCACCACGCCCAGCTAATTTTTGTAGTTTTAGTAGAGACAGGGTTTCGCCATGTTGGCCAGGCTGGTCTCAAACTCCTGACCTCAGGTGATCTGCCTGCCTCAGCCTCCCATAGTGCTGGGATTACAGGCGTGAGCCACCGCGCCCAGCTGTTTGTCTGTTGAATGAAACAGAGGCAAGGCTCTGAGCTCTAGTGTGCTAGGGAAAGCAGATATGAATGAGAGGGGTCCATAGTTGAGTGTGTGGTGACAAATTGAAGTAAATGCTATGAGGGACAGGTGTTCACACACCGGTGGGAACAAAGGACCGTCGCCTGGAATGAGGGGACCTGCAGCTTTGTTGAGGAGGTGGGGTTGGAACTGAGATCTGATGGTGAAGTAGAGCCAACCAGAGGATTCCTTTCTGGGGTGGG